AAATCTCCCCCCATGGGATTGCATGAAACAACCGTTCTTTATGTTATCTTTGCTTATTCCTGGAAAGAAGTCACCTGGAAAAGACATTGATGTCTACCTACAACCACTGATTCAAGAGCTTAAAACATTATGGGTTGATGGTGCACAAACCTTTGATGTTCGTCGTAAAGAAACTTTCAATTTACATGCTGCCGTTTTGTGGACAATAAACGACTTTCCAGCATATGGGATTTGTCTGGGTGGAGCACAAAAGGTTACCTGGCCTGTCCCACTTGCAATGAGAAGACCCATTCTTTGAGATTGCGTAATAAGATATGTTACATGGGACATCGACGCTACTTACCGAAAGATCATCCTTGGAGGAGAAGTAAGAAGTTTGATGGAAAAAGAGAAGACAATGAGGCACCTCATGATTTAAGTGGGGAGGATGTGTTAATGCAGCTACGAGGATTACAAAATGTAACTCTAGGGAAGCATGTCAACAAAAAAAGAAAGCGACACCCCGAGGAGTTAAATTGGACTAAACGCAGCATTCTCTTTGATTTGCCTTATTGGAGTAAGTTGAAATTAAGGCACAATTTAGATGTAATGCATATTGAGAAAAATATATGTGAGAGCATCTTAGGAACCTTAATGAGTGCAGAAGGGAAAACAAAAGATACACTTAATGCCAGATGAGATTTGGAGGACATGAAAATTCGCAAAGAGTTGCACTTGATCAATTCAGGTGATGGAAAACATGTGATGCCTGCTGCTTGTTATGTAATGAAAAAGAAAGAAAGACGTGACTTTTGTGAATTCCTAAAGTCCGTCAAGTTTCCTGATGGCTATGCATCCAACATCTCTCGTTGTGTTAGTTCAAGTGATCAAAAGATATCCGGATTAAAGAGTCATGATTGCCATATTCTCTTACAACGAATACTTCCTGTTGGGATTCGTGGGTCCTTAAATAAAGAAGTATGCGAGGTATTGGCTGAATTAGGCAATTTCTTTCAACGGTTATGCTGTAGGAAGTTGAAAAAAACAGAATTGGAGAAAATGAGAGAATCCGGAATGATTGGGCGTAAAGCGTCTGTAGGTGGCTTTTTAAGTCCGTCGTCAAATCCCAGGGCTCAACCCTGGACAGGCGGTGGAAACTACCAAGCTGGAGTACGGTAGGGGCAGAGGGAATTTCCGGTGGAGCGGTGAAATGCGTAGAGATCGGAAAGAACACCAAGAGCGAAAGCACTCTGCTGGGCCGACACTGACACTAAGAGATGATATTGTGCAAACTAGAGAAGATATATCCTCCTGCATTATTTGACGTCATGGTTCATTTGCCAATCCATTTGCCAAATGAGGCATTGGTAGGAGGCCCGGTTCAATTTAGATGGATGTTTCCAATTGAACGGTAATTTATATTAAACTATGAGCTTCTTATTTATAACTTCTTCTTGCAAATGTTTTTAATAATATATATTTATTTATTTTTTTAGATTTTTAGGCGACTTGAAGCAAGGTGTAACAAATAAAGCTCATCCGGAAGGATCTATTTGCAGAAACATACATTGCAAAGGAGTCGTTAACTTTTTGCTCCATGTACTTGCGGGGAATTGAGACTAGATTTAACAGAGATGATAGAAATTGTGATATAACAGTTGATGATAGCCTATCAATCTTTTCTGCAAAATGTCGCCACTTTGGAGCAACAACACCTGTTGAATTATCCAAGGAAGAGTTTAACACGGTACAATGGTTTGTCTTTCAGAATTGTGAAGAGGTTCAACCTTATATTTAGTAAGTATAAAATTATATTTTACATATACATATAATATTATTGCACTTTACTTTTTCTTAAATAAATATATTCAATGCAGGAAGCACATACAGGAGCTATTATTAGCTGGTTGTGAAAACATAAACGAAGAGCATAGAGAAAAATTTCCTTCGTGGTTCAGAAAACATGTAAAGGCCTTGCAAATACAAAATAATTCATCGTCTTATCTTTACTCTTTCTTTCGTTTTAATTAAATTTTTATTTAATTAGTTGATATTTTATCTTATTCATTCAGATGACCCATTTGTATCACGAGAATCCAACAGAAGCAAATGAATCTTTGTATTCACTTGCATGTGCCCCAAGCAAATGTGTTAGAAAGTACGCTGGATGTATTGTCAATGGCGTAAGATTTCTAACGAAAGACCGTGATAGTCGTCGTAATACCCAAAATAGCGGTATTTCTGTGGAGGGTAACCACGGTGAAGATACACTAGAATTTTATGGTGTTGTATCTGATATAATTCAGCTTGACTATGTGAAAGATAGGAATATTACCATATTCAAATGTGAATGGTTTGATCTTGGGGGCAAAAAACAAAAAGGGTTACAAAAAGAGGGCAATATTGTGAGTGTTCGGATTACCAAAAGATGGTATGAGAACGACCCTTACATATTAGCTAATCAAGCTAGACAAGTTTTCTACATTAGTGATCCTAAATTAGGAAGTGACTGGCGAGTAGTGCAACCATTCCAGCATAGGCATGTCTATGATGTTGATGAGATGTCAGATGATGAAATAGGCCCTAATGATTTGTTTTCTGTGGAAGATGGGGTATACCAAGAGAATGAAGCAAATGATGCACTTGAAGTTAGTGTTGATGAATTAGAATCACTAGGTAGGAATGACGTGGATTCTCAAGATATTGAGGAATCAATGATAGAAACACTACCGGATATTGCAGAGCTCGTAAACATAGATGATGTCATTGAAGAAGATGA